TGATCACCTTAGTTTAATTTTTAGTCCAAACATGAAAGAATACCCTTCTCGCTTACACGTTGCATTGACATTCAATTGAATGAGGTATGCAAAGCTTCTCAAGAAAAAATACAGACTTTGATTCAAGCGTGTAAAACACAATTATCGTACTTACTCCACGCAAAACAAATCATAAGTGTATAACTTCGCGTTACCTAACTTGTGTAGGATATAGGTCGAAATTACGAGTCCCCTGTGTTAGTCCATGATACATTTGCATTGGCTCCATTCAACTAGATTCAAGAAAATAAAGCAACACACACTCAACCATCCAGATTCCAAACATGGTGTAGATCGCAAGACTGAGCCTGAGTTAAAGTAGGGAATACATAGAGAAAAGTCTATTAATCTAGAATTTTATTCACCATAGAGAAAAACCTTCGCTAACAAGTAAATGACGTTCTTAAGAAAGGCTCGCTTCCTGCCTATCAAATCAAACAAAATTCTTAGAAGCAAGAGTTGAATTACCTGTTGATTTAACCTTATGCTTGAAATGAAATACCCCCCCTTAGATGAGAAGAAATGTAATAAAACCAGCAAACTTAAGGGTGGTTTAGTATCCGAAGCATTCCTTAAGTCCAATGGGCTACTAATTAGTTACTTGTTAAAACACCAATCAACAAGAGAAGGAAAATGTGAGAGAAGAGAGAATGAAATGGAGCGCTCAAAGCTGTATTTGTAAATCGAATTTTGACTGGCGGTCTTTTGATTTTTTTAAAACGACCTCCTTATTTTTTGAAGTTCGCCACTTTCGAAAATACTCGGCGTCTACCAACTCCAACACAAAAGACCTTTGACAATTCATGTTACTTTATTCAACGTGGTTTCTTGGTAGTAGTGATGCGAAGCCAGGTTACGAGTCAGTGTCCTCAGAGGCTGGTACAAACTAAATATACCCAAGATATGACCGTAGTAGTGTTCTTCCAGCATGTGTACGTGAATCACCAGCCAGTGATGACAACCGCGCACAATGAACTACAATTAGACTGTCGCCCGATAGGTATCGAATGTGCTGTCCCAATTTTTGATGTACCAGTTACTAAGGACTTCCATGCCCCTTGTAGGTAACCATTGAAGGCCTTTCACCCATCAGACAACGCGAAAGCAGCGTGGATGATATCGTAGATGAGCTCGAGCGTAACCTTGAAAAATGTCCCCAGGAAAAATCTGATTTGAGTAATACCCCTCTTCTCTAATTAGCATAGTGCATCATGTGTCTGTTTCTCGCTGGACTAGTTACAACACTCTTCAAGGACTGTTCAAGAGACTGTATACAACGGAGCAGCCCATTGAGCAATTACTACTCAATCAATGGCGAGAACACTAGTTTCTTAAAGGTTGACATCTACTTTAGTCAGTACTCAGTTGCCTTTTGCCTTCTCGCGAGAGTTTCGTGAAGTCTACGGCTCCAATGCCTGCGGCTACCTGATGAGACCCAACGACTTATCTTGTCACCAGATTGAAGTTGAGAGATAAAAGGGATAACAAATTACTAGTAGTCATATTGACAACATCAGAAAGCTCGTTTCTTCACTATGACCCAAACGAAACATACAACGACGGCTAACAAGGGTTGCACGAGGACGCAGATGTAATCAGTCAGCTACAAGTTCTCACACGTCCAGCGAGTGACTTGCAGGGTCTGGTTTCCTTTCTCCAGGTTCGGCAATAAGGGATAGCACAGACTTTGCATGGGGTGGAGGCCTGCGACATCAACCACAATGTATGAGTGCACTCTTTCTTGTCAATGTCTGGTTCTCGAAAACGTATGAATGCACCGCTAGCTCTTTGCTGTAACACGCCCATCGATGATCGCCATGTGCAGTTGCCTCACTATCCTCGATGATGATGAGTGGTCAAACAACGAACTGTGCTAAACATTTTAGAGCCTAAAAGACAACCGAGTACTTAGCATGCCTTAGCATGGTCGTGAAGTCCGTACGTGTCTCATCTCCACTCATCTCTCTAAAAAGAGCAGACTCGTTAGCAGAAGGCAATGATCATACACAAGCAGCAGTTGACGTCAACAAAACGGGGAGCACACCCGTCATCGCTCGTCCCTCTTGAGGGAGAGGGAGTGATCTGACTTTTCTCGTTCTTTTGTGTGCCTAGTACCTCTGCTCCGCCCATTTTCTCTCTCCACAGTTTGTTAACGCCCTGCGGCCTCTGTTTCTCTTGGTGTGAGCTGACTTTAGGGCCGTCTTCCACAGATTCTGTTGGCAGGTGGTCCCGCTGCCACTGTTCCAGTCCATTCCAAGACTGAGTTTCCACATCGCTAGCCTCAGACTCAGCCTCGGAGTCCTGGTCCAGGTCGTGTTGTTCGTCCTCCGTGGTCCTTGGACCTCCGCAGTCACGCCATCCCTTTCCTCTTGGCCATGTTCTTCGCCTTTGTGACGGCCACCTGCAGCTTTGGGTCCGTCCTCATCCCCTCTTCTCTTGCCCCCTCCACATTGATTTTCAGTTTGGCCTCGTCGCCATCAAAATTTAGGATAGTAGTAATCCAAGGCCCTTCCCTTGATGTTGAAGTCCAGCGCGTCAGGAGTCTCCAGCAATCAAACTTATAGCCCTCTAGCCCTTTTCTACATGCTATATCCACTTTCCCGCAACAGTCAGCGTCTAAAGCCACATCAACTACCCACACTTACACGATACGCACGAGGCACTGGACACCAAAGTTCAAAATGGTCGCGGCCTGAACGCGTTGCCTCCCAACACGGCTATCCCGACTTACAGGCAACGAGCGTGGCATATAGTGATCTTATAAAAAGGAGATGTTGTCGTGTTACTTACTATAACACGACATCATCTCCTTTCTATAAGATCGCTATAAGATCACTATATGCCGCGATCCCTGCGTTCTTAACAGGATGCTTAGAAACATTTTTAAATCGATACACAAAATAGGATTGTAATATTTTAACCAATAATAGCCAGGAGAAAAAAGGAAACAGTCAAGACCCAACGGTCACTTAAGCAGGCGTCCCCTTCAATTAGTGCCAGCAGTCTTTTCACTTCAATCTGAAAAGACTGTGGACACGTTGCACCATGGTCCCATAACGGGATACCGACCGGCTTCTTCCTCCCTTTAAAGGGGCCCATCGGAGTACTCATAATGGTTACCCGTGTCCGATGGCAAGGAGGGGCTTATGACCTTCCACGGGAGGTTATAAGCTTCCTACCAAAGCGGCCGCAGGTCGCCCCTCTTTTTGGAGTTCTACATAGTGAGGCCTAGCAGGTCGCACTCGTGGTAACTAAGACGTGAGGGATTGGGCAATCTAGGCCACGCGCTTGTGATCATGGTTCAAACCCCATGAAGCAACATAGGGGGAACTAAGTTTGGAAAGGCAAAACTAAAATAAGGGACGTTTATAATTGTTGCGGAAATCCAGCGGCCTAGCTCAGTTGGTAAGGCACGCAAGTGGCATTTAGGAGGTCTTGGGTTCAATCCCCATTGGCCTCATGTACCTTCCTTGGCAAGCTTGGCGCCCGCCACCTAGAGATCTGCCGTTGGTCTCCCGGAGTGGCAGTGAGCAGAGACTGCTGATGTTCATAGGGGGAGGGGACTGGAGGGGAGGCACAGTGACTGGCCGATCGAAGAAGCTTGGTCCTGATGCTACCGGCTGACCCCTGGCCGGTATCGCCCACCTGCTGTAGCAGGTATCGCACCTGCTGGTGGGTGCAGCTCCCGCATGTTCCCTCGTTGGAGGCTTGAGCACGGATGTGGCTGCTAGGGGGTTCCCCGTAATATTATAATGACAATAAAAAAAAGACCTGAAAGGCCATCCTGTCCATTAAAGAATTATCCTTAAAAAAAAAAAAAAAAAAAAAAAATTTGTTGCGGAAAAGTACTCTTATAATCTTCGGATCCATCGAAATTAAAACCATGGTCCAGATCATAGCGCAAGTTGAGAACACGATTTCTTACCTTTTTCTCTTTTATATTCGTATTTTGTTTCCTTTTTCGTTGTTCTTTCCTTGCTTCTGATAGTGACGGCGGGCAGTATTTGTCCCATAACTCGTATGGCACTCAGTTTTTCTTCGTTTCTTTTCTTCGAGCCTGAGGGGCTCGGCGCACAGTTGAAAAGACTGCGCCTGTCCCTCTACCTTTGTGTCCCTGGGGGAGTTTGACGCTACCACGGCCACAGGCCGGTTGTGCTCTGCTGTACAGCAGGGCGCCGTGGACCAAAGGACAGTTCAGTGGCACACCCCCACTCTTTTGCTGTGGGAGCGCCAGCCGGATCAGTCCAGGAACAGGCCGAACACAGGATGAGCCTGGTACACACTACTGAGGGCAGTGAGTAGTATGTGCCTGGTACACTGCGGAGGTCCGGGACAGCGTGCCCTCCGACAGTGTGCCAGCGGACCAAAATGGCTGGCGGTGCCAGCCGAAAGAAAAAAAAAAGTTGTGCTGGAGCTTTGGCAAAGCTTGGCTGGCTTGCAGTTCTTTTCCGCCTCGGCAAAAAGAGGCATGGGGGTAGTGTGGTTTGGAACAGTGATCAGGTATGCCAAAAGGCAAGAATCCCTTAAACCAGCAGTACCTCCGAGTCTCCTTTCCTCCATGTTCATTCTCGCCCGCTCCTTACATTCCTCAATTGTTGAGACGACCCGGGAAGCGATACAATGCTCGTTATGGGTTCTTACTCTTTTTGATAATGAAAAGGGACTAATGTGAAAAATAAGCTGCATCTGAGCAGGCCGCAGCACTCCTTTCGTTGCCTTATTTATCTGTGAAGGGTTTCTCTCTGCGAGTGAAAGAAATCGTAATGAAGATCTGTTTGGTGCATTGAATCCATGGAGGCTGGCAATGGGCCCATGCGGTTGCTGCTATTTCTCCTTTATATATAATTTCTCCAGTCTCCCATGGGCAGCTCTTTCCTCATTTGCCAACAGGGTGCTCCCTTTTTTCACCGGTTGGTGCCTTGTTCTTACTTTTCTGTCAATGTCCTTTTTGACCCGTGCAGAATTTGGAAATCGCAAAGAACTTGCTGGCAATGAAGCAATTTCTCTTCGGCGATGGAGAGACAGAGCCAAATCTGGAGTTGTCACACCAGTTGACAATGGAGGCGTGTAAGGATGACTTCTTCAGTCTCCTTATCAAACGACTGCATCTCCTTGACTTTGAGGTAACGCAAGCATGCTCTCCTGTCCTCGAGAATCCCCACCTTCCCTTCAGCCTGTCTTGGTGCTGCACAGTTGCACATTTTGGTGTTTAAGGTGTGGGTAGTTGCGTATTTTGGTGCTTCGGTTGTTGTCTATTGTGATCTGCTCCTCGCTTATTGATCTGAAAGGCCTTGGGATTAAGTCATCGTCAAGTCCGTTGAGTGGTGTTCAGAGAAGCAGAACAGCAAGGAAATTGTGGCAAATTTCTCTCTCTCTCTCTCTCTCTCTCACACACACACACACACACACACACACACACACACACACACACACACAGACACGCACACAACACACACAACATGCACGCACACTTGAGGGCCCGGGTGGCTGTGCTACGCCATTGTCTCCATGCAGGAATGGTTCAGTTAGCATGCATACGATACAACATCGGTCTGGACACTATGAAGGGATGGTCACTGCCAGCGTCTGCTGTGAAAACTGTGACCCATTGTCGTGCAGTTATCCCCCTTCTCCCCTCCTTTGCTAGACCAATATGCTGTTGTGGTCTTGCCATGCCATGCTTTAACAACTGCGGGCATCAGCCTTCTTTCCTGCTGGTATGCCAGCAACATGCCATGCGTTGTCCATGGAGAGTATGTGTCTCTCCTGCATGGACTATCCCGGTCATCACCTGCCACACGCTATCCATGCAGGTCCCAGTGCAAGATCAAAGAACTTCCAAAAAGGCAGACAATTCTGGACAAAAAAAGTGCTGTGTAGAATTGCACACCAAACTTCTCTTGGCTGAGTCTCACCCTCAGCATTCCTTATTGAATTGGGGATAAAAAGAAAACAAAGAAATCAAACTGAGGCACTCTACTTTAAACCCCCTCAGGTTCCCTTAAGCCCCATTTATACCCCTCTCCCGGCCTTTGCAGCAGGTCCTTATTTACCCGGGAAGTTGCTGGAGCTGCCCTGATTTCCTGGTGGGCATTCGGATGGGCCTGCCTTTTCTTTCACTAGAGTGAAAACGACCCCACCCCCCTCTTTGGCATAGGCAGTAACGTTTGGTTACCCCAGATCTCGAAGGATAGGAAAAGATTCCACCAACATTGGCTGTCCATGCTATCTACTCTTCTTTGGGGGTCTAGACTGATCACGAGATGTGTCGATCCACAAGTAGAAAACACACTGACTGATTGATTGATTGGTTCATTGCTTGTTTGTTTGCTTGCTTGCTTGATTGATTGGTTGATTAGTCAATCAATGATTTTCAAACATGTGCAAATGAAAAGGAGAAAAACAGACCCACGGAAGGAAAGAATCAATTAGAAGATCAGGAGCGCAGAGACACACACCCACCCACCCACCCACACACACACATACACATGTCAGGGGTTTGGACCGGCAGTCTGCTAAGATTGCAAGGTTGATGTGAGTAAAGTCGACCACTTTTTTCAGGGTTATCGCTATTTCTGGGCGATGTGGCGAGTCCTTATCCATCAGTCAAACACATCCTGGGCAGACTGTTGGGGTGCAACCTCCTGATGAGTCGGTGAAAGTCCGATGAAACAGTCTGGTACAGTCATGCTTACGGTTCTTGTCAGGGGTTTGGACCGGCAGTCTGCTGGGATTGCAAGGTTGGTGTGAGTAAAGTGGACCACGTTTCTGAGGGTTATTGCTAACTCTGGGCGATGTGGTGAGTCCTTATCCATCAGTGGGAAGACTGTCGGGGTTCAACCTCCTGATGAGTCGGTGAAAGTCCGATGAAACAGTCTGGTACAGTCATGCTTTTTTTGAGTGTATAGCGAATATGACAACACACACACACACACACACACACACACAGACAGACTCACACACACGCACACACACACATACAGGTTACAAGGAAAAGCAGCGGAACCATTGGAAGGGAATTAATGGGGATGCAAGGGAGTTAATGACGGGCCTAATTTTTTGAGCAAAATGAACCAACCTAACCATGCTGAGATTGATCCCTTGATCCTGGTCGCATGAGCCCTGTTGTTCAACCTCGAACAGTTGGCGTTCGTTTTGCGGCCGTGCGAGGTTCCTGCACGTGGTGTCTTTTCATCTTTGTCCGACTCCCGAGGATGCTGGTGGTTCTATGTTTTTTCATTCTTTTCGTTTCCTTCCATGACTTGTTCCTTTTCTTTTTTTTCTTTTTTCTGTTCTTTTCTTTTCTTTTCTTCCCCCTTTTTTTTGTGTCCTTCGATTTTTTCATCTTCGCATAGTTTGTATTCAGTTTTTTTCACGTTTTTCCTTTTCTTCATTTTTTTCATTCATTTTTTCCTCTCGTCTTTTTTTTTCTTTTTCTTCTTTTTTTCAGGCACGGCCTGTCTGAAGTTTTTCAATCCCGCGCCGAAAAACATGCCGCTGCGGAGTGCGAATACTTCGGATGATGACATGGCTCCGCAAATAAGCCACCTCACTGATAGGCTAGCGTCGCCTAGCTTCGAACCGACGCTAGTTAGGCATGGGCTGCTAGAGCTAAGGACACATCAGACTTGTCAAGGGTGTCCTGTTTCTCTGTCACTCTCTCCTTTTTTCTGTTTTCATTTTTCTTCTCTTTTCTTTTTTTCCTTTTTTCTTTTGTTTCTCTTTTTTTTTCTCTTTTCATTTTTCATTTTCTTTTTCTTTCTTTTTTCTGTTCTTTTCTTTGTTTTCTCTTTTTTGCTTTTTTCTTTTCCTTCCTCACTTAACACGTAGGTTCCCACCACACCAAAAATAAGCCACATTACACGGATGATGACGATAGGCTGAGCTATTTAGGGAAGGTCTGCAGCTTAGGGCGGCATCAATCCATCCAGTACGCATGTGTTGCCTTCTGGGACTGGCCGTTGAAGATCTGCTACGCTTCTGATTGTGCCAGTTTTGTATGCTCGGACGAGTGGGGTGGACGCTAAGCCTCGTCAGATCTAGCAACAAGGACTGTGCTAGTGGCCATGGACTATCAGGTGGATCTGGCCTTGGTGGATCGGATCATCGGCGCCGACGAGGAAACGGTATAATCATTTTTTTTTAATTAACCAACTCTTGGGTGGTGGTTTTCTTTGCACCGTTTTTGCTTGCTGCATAGGCTCTTTGCACGCGTGCGGGCATGAGTTCCTATTTCTTCTTTCCTTGCGCGATAATTTGCTGGCTACTCTGCAGAACACATTAATATTGCAGGAGTTACCATCTGATGAAGCCGTGAAGTTGTGGCCAGCGGCAGAAAAGCGCTTCAGGGATTGCCACTACCCTCCCTGCTATGGCTGTTGAGGTTGAGATCCCATATTACGTGGATCTACCTTTGGGAATGCAGTCGAAGTTGTGCTCGCGTACGAGTGATGTTGCTGGGTATTTTTGTGTCCTGCGTATATTCGGCGTTGAACCACCACTACCCCCGCTGGCCTAAAATGGACTTCCCTTGCCTTACGGACCGGGTTCTTAGGGGGGGAGGTGACCGGCAGGCGCAGGCGGGTCCGGTCCAAGAATTTTCAAGCGCGAACTTTGGCGATTTTTCGTGCTCAGAAAAATTGGCCAAAAAAATCTGAAAAAATTGATATCCTGTAGATTAGGCTGTGATCTTTCCAGGAAAAATATAAGAAAAATGAAAAAAAAAAAGGACCGTGAAGTAAATGCCGTGCCGCTTTGTCACATTTTCCATTTTTGCTACTCTACCGCGTATGGGCCAACGGTTAAAGTAACCCATCTTTCGGGATTTTTTGCGATCAGAAGGATAACCCAACAACTCTGAAATTTTGAGGGTCCGTAGATTTTGTCGTGATCTTTACAGGAAAAATATAAATAAAATAAAATAAAATCATTTGAACCGTGAAATAAATCGCGGGGGTAATTCGACGCATTTTTGAATTTTGCCACGCTGCCAGTTCCTCCCACACTGTGCTACCGGTAGCCCTCGTGGACCTGTGCTACCGGTTCCCTCTAATTTATGACGGCGGGGGTAGTGGTGGCTTAATGGATCGTCGGTTCAATGCCTGATGTGGCTACTTTTGAGTACAAACATGGTTTGCTCGTTTTGTCCTTTGGGTGCTGCTGCTCCCTGGCTTTATTCCCCTTACTCTCCCTTCTCTACCTCTCGTGTGTTTGTGCTTTTACCCCCCCTCACCCTTTGTCGAATTCTCTCTCTCTCTTCCCCCCCCCCTCCTCTTTCTCTCTCTCTTCCCCTCTCTCTCCTGCTCTCCCTCTCTCTCTTTCTCTCCTTCTCACTCCTCTCTCTCTCTGCCGTTCGCTTTATTCTTGCCCTCGAAAGCGCTAACCCCTTTACGGAGGCATAATTTAAGGGCAAGTCACACGTATACATGGGAAGCACTCCGCAATCATCTAAATGTATTGTCCGTTCCCAAGTTTCGTTTTGCATTCACATGCTTACCGCTCTGGTCTGTGCTGCTATTTTCTTTTGTCAATTTTCCTCTATTGGCCTCGCCCTTGCGTATACCTTCCTCCTCAGAGATGCATGATAATGCGCGAATCATACTTGTTGTTTATGTATTTTTTCTACGGATTTTATCCTTTCCTCTATTCTGTTTCCCCCTTGTTCTTTGGATGAATTTCACTTGCCGTTTGTGCCTATTGCGTCAATTACTTTCTACGGATTTCTGAAAGGATTATCCATTCGGACTCACCATCATGCATGCGCGCGATTACCAAGGAATGATCCTTGCATTTTTGTGCGTTATCAGAACTACTTTTGAGTTGGAAGTTTGTGTTGAATGATTTCAGAACTGATCTGCTTGCTGAACCTTATTTCGATGCACCCACTCTCACTAGTGGTTTCGATGAGTGGCGAAAAGCCCTCCCTGTTTTTCGTTTGCTTAGGTATTTCTCTTGGTTTTGTTCTCCTACTTTTTTTCGTCATTGCTGTTGTTTGTACAGAATCATCTTGGTTTCTACGCCCTACTGTTGCCATAAATGCAAACCAGGTTGTGCTACTAGTTATCTGGCATTTTGGTGTGCTCATACCGGCTTGTTGCTCTTTGAAAGTCCCTGTGTTCTCCAG